CCTAGACCCTTTCCTGCCTCAGTTTCTCCTCCATGCTTTCCCCCACCTGTCCATGTCCAGGCTCTTTTTCCCTTCCTGGTGTGTGGTATCCCTGAGGCACAAGAGACTGGAAAAGGGTGTGTGGTGTGTGTGTGTTCCTGCACGTGTGTACGGTGCTGTGTGTGTGTTCCTGCACGTGTGTACGGTGCTGTGTGTGGTGTGTATGTGTGTGTGTGTTCCTGCACATGTGTACGGTGGTGTGTGTGGTGTGTATAGTGTGTGTGTGTGTTCCTGCACACGTGTACGGTGGTGTGTGTGTGTGTGTTCCTGCACGTGTGTACGGTGGTGTATGTGTTGTGTATGTGTGTGTGTGTGTTCCTGCACACGTGTACGGTGGTGTGTGTGTTCCTGCACGTGTGTACGGTGGTGTATGTGTTGTGTGTGTGTGTTCCTGCACGTGTGTACGGTGGTGTGTGTGGTGTGTATGTGTGTGTGTGTGTTCCTGCACTGTGTACGGTGGTGTGTGTGGTGTGAAAGTGTATGATGTGTGTGGTGTGTGGTGTGTATGTGTGTGAACTCCTGTCCCCTCTCTGAATATCTCATTATATATGTATATTTTTCTGATCAGTTAAAGAAAAGATTTTTTTCAGCCGAGAGTTGCAATTTAAACAATATTTGAAGCTGGCCGAAGTTATCGACCTGGCGCACAGTGATGAATCACAGACGGTAATTCGAATTCATCGACCGCCCCACCCGCCAGGAGCCGCCCCTCCCCCAGCCCCGCTCCCGTAATCACAGTTTGTGACAGTCGCTGGGGTGTATGTGGGGGGAGCGCGACTCAGAGGGGGCTCGGGTGGGTTGGGAGCAGATGCAAATGCCCCCCAGCGTGGGGGGAAGTGTTTGGGGGAGTTAGAACCTGGACCTTCAGTGGCTCCTCTCCATGTGCATATTTTACATTAGGGGAAACTGAGGCATGCAGATGATAACACACACAGGGCGGGGACGGGATTCTGGGGCTCTTTGCTGAGTTTCTCGGGTAGAACAAAGAAAGGAACGGCCCTCGGTGGTCCCCTGAAGAGGGCACAGCAGGCCGTGGTATTTCCGGGGCTGGGGGACCAGGAGCGACCAGGGGACCCCAGCCGAGCTCAGCCTCCATTGGCCGCCATGCCCCCTCCTTTCTTTGTCTCCCGTCTTCCTTTCTGTCTCCCCCTCCATGCCCCTCTCTTCCCTCTCTCTCTCCAACTCACCTCTCTCTTCTCTCTGTCTCTTGTCTCCCACCTTTCATTCCCTCTCCATCTCTCTCCTCTGTCCGTCTGTCCGTCCATCCATCCATCCATCCATCGTTTTCCCTGGACATCCCTCCCACCCTGTCCCTTTCTCTCACTGGTCCTGTGCTTTGCAGGACACTCTCGGGCTGGTAGCATTGGGGACAATGTTCTCCCAGCGAGGCGGTGACTCGTGATGAGTTCCCCTCATGGGCTCATGGAAGCCAAGGTCCAGTTTTGCCCCCGGTGGGTCGGGGACTGGGGAGTGATGCCCCAGGTTTGGCCCTGGTGTAGGGACAACTGTAGGCCTTGGGCTGTCACTGAGTATGAAGGGATTTGCCTGGCCGCCTGCACCACCCCCTAAACACCACAATTTACCGCCACTTAACTGCTTTTCATTTGTGCAAGGACCAGAACTAAAGGCCTGGGCTGGGGCCTAATGACCCCGGCCGGCCCGGGGCTGCCACTTCTGACTCCAGTGGAGTCCAAAGACACCGGGAGTGCAGGGTCACAGTGCCACAGCGTGGACCAGTCTCCCATCTTCATTATATATAACACCCCGAGCCCCAAGGACGCCACCTGTATACCAGCCTCTGCCACCACCCAGCACCTCGAGCTCCCCCGAGGTGGCCACACGTCCAACTCACATGACACCGTCCTAGGGAGGAGACGCTGGACAAAGATGAGTCTGGTCTCAGTTTCCGGTCCAAGGGGGACACAGAGGGCTGGTGGCCCTGGTGTGGATGTGAATTTAGACCAGTGGCTCTGGGACCTCGCACCCAAGGGATGTCCCAAGGCACCTGTGGTGCCTGCTGCCTTTTGTGCGGTGTCCACAAAAGACCAATTAAAACACTCTTCCGACCACCTTGGACCTGAAGGAGAGTGACAGGCGAGGGTTCGGGGTGCACGATGTCCCTTGGTGATGTGCCCAGGAGAGGAGGCTTTGCTTTCAGAGTTCACAGAACACACACCTTGGTGACAGTCACTCAGTCACTTGTGGCCCAGAACTGTACTGCTCCCTGGCAGTGAGGGACACTCAGGGAGGTGCAGAAGGGGCTGTGGGTCGGGACATGTGTCCTTGTCCCAGGCAGATCACCAGCAACAGGACCCTTCAGATAAATCTGTGTTTGTCTCCTAATGTCCTCAAGCAGCCCCCCAGGAACGCGCAGCCTGAAACAACCCAAAGACAGGTCGCTAAGAATCTGAGAAATCCCGCGGAAGACTCCTGAGGAAGTGGGAAACTGAGGCCCGCTGCAGGAGACTGCACAGTGGGCTTGGAATGTGGGGACAGAGCAGGTGTCATCCAGGTCTGCTTCTGTCCACTCCCTACCATCCGGTGTCCTCTGCTTCTTTGCACCCCCACACGCTTGCAGGGTGGCCTAGGGATACAGTCAACCCGGAGCTCCGCTCCTGCCTCAGGGGCGCCTCACTTGAGCCCCAGCTGCCCCGCCCCTCTCTGTGTTTGTGTGCAGAGGGATCGATGAGACTCTGGAAACCGCTATTGTCCCTGGAACGGGGTACACAGCTCCCTCCCCACCACGCCGGGAAAACGCTCTGCCTAGATCTCCAGCTCTCTGGCACCCTCCCCCCAAACACTCAGGATGTAGGGTCCCTGACACCCCTCCCTACTCCGAGAAAGGCTGGGAGGGGACAGGTTAGACCAAAGGAGGAGACAACGGGTCCCCCAGGGGCTGGCTGCTGTGCCTGTGTGTGCGAGAGAGACTCTGGCAAGACGCGAGGGGAGAGAAGAATAAAGACTGAACTGGGAACCCGAGCGAGCACCGGTCCAAAGAGAGCGACAGTAATTTGTCCCGATGGGATGCAGGAAGTAGGAAGGGGGACAGGGAGAGCAAGGCCCGGGGAGCCGCGGCGGGTGTGAAGGCCTCTGGTGGATGCCACCGAGCTCAGGGTCCCATGGGCCGCCCCTCCCCCCAATCTCAAATGACCTTTGCCAGCGGCCAGAGCGGGGGAGGGAGGGGGACAAGCGGATCGATCGGCGGCAGGGGCTGAGCTGCACCGGAAGAGAGCTTGGTGTTGGTGCTGGGGCTGGGGGCCGAGCGGTGGCCAGGCCTTGGCTAAGCATAGCCAGCGACCTGGCGCTTTGTGACTGGGTGCAGGGAGGCGCCGGTGGGCCCTCTTGCAGGGTGACTGGAAAGGAGGGGAGTGGCACCTTCTGGTCTCGGGGGACACACAGGATCACGAGCCCAAGGAGTGTGCAACACACGCTGGCGCGCACACACACGGAGCTATGCGAGGACTGCTTTAGTTTAGCCCCAAAGACACTGGACACCCAGCACAGTCCCCCAAAGAGCAGGGACGGCGACAACCGTGCAATTACCCTCTCTATGAGCGGCGGTGCCAGTGGTCGGCGGCGGTGCAGACCTCAGGTCAGCCTCGGAGGCCAGGGGACCCACCCCCGCAGCCAGCCTACCAGGACGCACTATCGGGGCTCTAGATAGTCAGTCCCTCACCCTAAGCCAACGGTTTCCCCCAGGGTCAAGCCTCCGGGGGGGCCCTCAGCCCTACCTGCCAGGCGCAGCGCCGACATGCGCTGGAACTCGGGCTCCTGCAGCCACTTCCACATCCTGCGGAAGGTCTCGCGGCCGGACTTGAGCTTGCTCCAGGGCTTGGGGTTGCGCAGCAGGTCGGAGAGCGTGCCCTGGGAGCGGCACAGGATGCGCTGCGCGAAGATGGCCTGCGGGATGCTGTAGCGCTTCAGCTCGGCGGTGATGCGCTGGGCCACCTCTTTGGTGTTGATCTCCTCGGCTGCGGCGCCGGCTCCCGGGCCGCCGCCGCCTCCGCCGGCGCCACCGCCCCCCTCCGGGGCCACCGCCGCCGGAGTGAGGCCCGTGCGCCCCGGCCGCGGCCAGCCCGCCCAGCGGAGCCAGCAAACCCGCGGCCGCCCCGCCGGCCGCCCCGCCGCCTCCCGCGCCGCCGCCGCCGCCTCCGGGCAGCCCTCGGGCCAGCGCGTCCTCCGCGCGCCCCAGCAGCGCGGCGTGTGGCTCGAAGGCGGCGGGAGGCAGGAGTTTGTCCCCGGCCAGGTGGCCCGGAGCCCCGTAAGCGGCGAGCGGCGGCGGCGGAGGCGGCGGCGGCTGCGGGGCGCTGTGCAGGGCCGGGGGCAGCGCGCTGGGCAGCGGCGACAGCGGCGACCCCATGGTGGGCAGCTCCTTGCCGTAGGGCCCGTAGAGGTGGCCCACCGAGGCCAGCGCCGCCCGCTCGTCGCGCATGAGGGTGAAGCTGCCGCTCACGCTGGCCGCCAGGCGCTGCGGAGGGGGCGGCGGCGGCGCGGTGGCCGGGTGAGGGTGCGCGTGCGGGTGGCCTCCGTGCGCCCCGGCCACCGCGTGCTGGTGGAACTTGTCGGCCACGGCGGCCAGCGGCGGCAGGTGCTGCAAGGGTGTGAGCGTGGTGTAGGTGCCACCCAAACCCGGGGCCTCGCACGCCATGCCCATGGCCGGGTGCAGGGGACCAGCCAGCTCCCCACGGAAGTCAGGGCCACCACCCGCGGCCCCTGCAGCTCCCGCGCCCCCGGCGCCCCCGCCCCCGGCGCCGCCACCGTCCAGCAGGCTAGCCATGCCCGCCACCAGGCCCGGGCGCCCCGATGCCACCAGGCTTCGGTGTTGGGCCGCGGCGGAGCGCGCGTGGCCCGGGCTCAGCAGCTCGCCAGCTTGAGCGTGTGTCACCCCGTGCAGCCCCCCGAGGCTCTCCAGGCTCAGCTCCATTCTGGGCGCCCCCTCCGTGCGCGCTCAAGGCCGCTGCATGGTCCCCACGCACTGGCCGGCGCTCCAGGTGGTGGCGGCGGCTGCTGTCCCACTCGCTCAGTGCTCTCGCCCGGCTTCGGCTGCTGCGAGCAGCGGCCACCAGGATGTGGCGGGGCGGCCGCCGCCGGCGCCCGGGCCTGGGTCTGACGTCAGCGCCCCCGCCCATCGCTCCGCCTGCACCCGCCAAACCCCCTGGAGCTCCAGGCTGGCTCCCTGGGTCCCCCATTCTGCTTGCCCAGAGAACCCGAGGGATTGGGGGGGTGGGCAGCCCGCCCTAGCTGGGGCTGGGTGTGTGTCTCATCTCCGCGCTGTTGATTCTCTGGCCCTCTATGTCCCTTTCGGCACCCCCTGAATCCCTGGAGTGTGACCACATGTGCCCCCAACTCTGTTGACACCCCACCAGAAAGACGTGGCTCTTTCAAGCTCAACACTGTATGCACATAAAGATTTAAAAACCTCTTTGGGGGTGAAGTGGGGGAGTGAGGGGGTCCGCAGAACAATCATACAGTCTATAACTGGCCTCAAGCACAAGGAAAAGCCGGTCTCTAGGACTCAGTTCCCTCCATTGTGGAGTGGAACTGCCCGGCTTCAGGGCGTTCAGAAATTTCTCAGTGGGGATGGACGTGTATCTTTAATCCCAGGACTAGGGAGACAGAGGCAGGTGGATCTTTGTGTTCGAGGCCAGCCTGGTCTACAGAGCAAGTTCTAGGACAGCCAGGGCTACATAGTAGACCTTCTATCAAAACAAACAGAAAACCTTCCCTGTGTGTGTGGGGGGGAGGGGGACATGGTGGCGCACGCCTCTAATCCCAGCACTCAGGAGGCAGAGGCAGACGGATCTCTGTGAGTTCAAGACCAGTCTGGTTTACAGAGCGAGTTCCGGGACAGCCAGGGCTGCACCGAGAAACCAAATAAAAGGAAGAAAGGAATGAAGGCAGGCAGGACGAAGAAATCCCTTCGAAGTCCAGTGTGTGTGACTGCCTTCCGGTTCCCACTGTATCTGGGGTCTCTGAAGACCAGCTTGGGTTTTTCCTGAGACTGAGTGAGCCTAGGAACTCTGTCTCTTCAGCCTTTAGACAGGGAGGGAGGAAAGAGGGGTCACATGGGGGACATCTTACAGGCCCAAGGTGCCTGGGAGCAAGATCCCTCTTGGGTGGGTAGAGAGTCCTAGAAGGGCCAAGTCAGACTCTAGATGGTCCAGAGTCTAGGTCAGGAGGGGACCCCAACTTTGCCCCGGCTCTCTTCCTCCTGTTCCCTGCCCACTGTCTAGGGGGACTGCTGGGGTCCACTCAGGAATTGGAGTCACCCCACCTACAGGGAGAGGACCACGTGTTCTAAAATGACGGACACCCACTGACAGGATGGCATCTGCCCCCGCCCACGGCTTGGGCTGAAAAGAATGCCACACAGGGCACGTGTGACAGGTACACTGTGTCCTTGCTTGCTCCAGGCTGCACCAGAGCCTTTCTGTTCCTCAGTTTCCCTTTCCACTGTGGCCCCCATGGGAGCAGAGAGGCTGTGGAGGAAGGTGACATTGTAGAAGAGACACTGAGTGTTTTAGTATGTGATTGTGTGTGTGTGTGTGAGAGAGACCCAGAGGTTCCTGCTTCCAAGCCCTCGGGTGGACAGGGCAAAAAGGGACGCACTACTTAAAACTCTGCGTTTATTAAGTTCCAGCTGTTTAAAGCCCTGGGGGAAGAGGTCCCCACATGTCACAGCTGCCTGCTGCTGCCCTGGTCCCCGTCGTGAGGGTAGAGGCTGCAAATGGACTCTTTTCTGTTTGTTTTTACTTATCCACCTCCCCCACAGGTCAGAAGCCTGGGGGTTTTCTGATCTGGGGTGTCTGGACAATTTGGGGGTATACCCATCTTCCAGGGAGAGCGACGGAGGTGAAGAGAGGGACCGATGTCAGCACTTGGGTACCAGCAGTGGCCAGGCTCACAGTCAAGTCTGAGGTCCCCAAGTCTACCCTGCAACATTACAGATAATTAAAAATAATCGTGGGGTGTGGAAATCAATCCACCACCGTTAACCGATAGTATCCAGGGCTTCAGGAAGCGAAGAGCCGTGGAGAGCAGTCATAGGGCTGGCTGGGGAACCGTGTATGCGTGGAAAAACAAAAGATGACCAGAAGCCCTTTTAAATACTAGCCACCCGGGGGGGGGGGGCTCCCGCGGAGGGGCTGGGGGGATGTAGCCCCCTGTCTCCATCTCCTCCTGTGCCATTTTTTGTTTTAAATGATAACCGTGGCGGCTTTTCTTCCTGGCCAGGGAGGAATCCATTTTGAGGAAAAACAGAGGTGGCTGGGTGGCTTTGAGATGAGGGGAGTTCCTTCTTTGTGTTGAATCAGGAGACCCTCAGTGCCACATCCCCCCTTTCAAACTGCCTAGACTTAGCAGAGGCCTCTCAGCCCCACGGAGGGACTTTCCCCCCTGTGCAGCAGGTGCTTAGGTCTTGTCTCTGCGGTCTGTGCGTCCACTGAGATGGAGTGAAAACCGGGGACCCCTCCAGGACCGGGCTGGGTCCCCCGCTGACTCCCCAGAACTGGCCTCTCCCACGTTGGTAATTAGTAAAATAGAATTGAGTGGGGCCACGGGGCGTGCGGGTGGCTGGGGCCTAATCGATCTTGGGTCATTAGCAAATTGAGGGTGGAGGAGGGCTGGCCTGGAGGGGGGCAGGGCGTCCCCCATCTCCATCCCTGTGGGGACCTAGGACAACGGAAGGAAGCTCTCAGTGGGCCTCAGTATCTGCTCTGGGAAAATAAGAGATGGAGTCCAGGCGTCCTGGACAACGGCCTCCGGGTGGGCTGGGCTGCACCAGGCTGGTATCCGCTGTCTCTGTGCTCAGCCCAAGTTCGAGAGATACCCAGGCTCGGTTCACCTGAGGGCTGTGAGGGGCCGGATCAGCACAAGGGACACGGGTGTTGGGGGACCTGCACGGGCTTCTCAGGAGGAGCAGTCGGTCCCTCTTCAAGGCCTCCAGGAGCCCTCCTCACCTGCCCTCTTCTTGACGACCTCATTTTAGCTAAAAACGGGCTGCGGGGACTTGAAACACCCGAAGGTGTCCCCCAGCCTCCCTGGACAGGACACTGTTTATTCCCCCACGGAAAGCCTCAGCCGCTGCACACCTGTCCCCTCTCTTCTCGCCGGGGACCCTGGCCACTGGCTGTCTCCTCCAGTCCAGCAGAGCTGGGTGCTCCCGCAGATCCCCGGGCCAGCCTCCCCCAAACCCGCCAGCGCTGCCGATCTGCTCCCCACAGCCCAGCGCCGGTCCCCCTCTGTTGGGAATGTGCTGAGGGTGTGAGCTGCATGAGATGGGGGGACCGAGGAGGGGGTGTCCGGCCTGGGGGGGGGTCCCTAGGTCCTCTGTCGGGGTGTAGGGGTTGCACACGTGTCCTGTACAGCAGGGTGCCCAGGGCGCACACGGCACCCCGGGATCCCTGCAACCGCCGGGGCCTGTGCCTGCTTCGCCCGTGGCAGCTCCCCGGGGCTGTTCCGCGACAGCTGCGCGCGATCGATCCCCGAAGGCCCCGCGTCTCCAATCGAATCCCCATCGCTCTGGGCCGCGCGCTGCGCAAACACCCGCTTGTTAGCAGCGGCCCGGGGGCTGCGCGACCCACCGACCGCACGGGTGCGAGGACCTCAGGCGTCGCTCCACCCTTAGCCCCTCAAGTTCCAGGGGCTCAGTGACGGGGGGAGATCCCCATTCTCTACCCTGATCAGCCCACCAGCCAGCCGTGACTCAGTTTCCCACCCCGAAAGCGGCCGCTGGCTCTGTGGGACCCCGGAGGAGGGAGAGGGCCCAACGCTGCTCTCAAGCCGTGTGCGCTTTCTTTGCCCGTCCTGTCCTTTCTCCCTCTCTGGCAGCGTCTCCTGTAGCCCAGGCTGGCTTCAACCCGGCTTCCGACCTTCCTGCTTCCTCCTGGGGGGAGGACCGCAGACCCCGCTTGTCTCCAAACTCTCCACCTCGAGCTTCGGGGAAAACGAACTGTCCTGACAGTGGGGGTTGGGGAAACTGAGGCCTGAGGGACCCGGGGCTACTGGAGGACGGGCTGGAGCAGGGGCCAGGTCGGTACCTCCTGGGATGCCCCCACTCTGGGGGTTCGCGCCCACTCGGGTTGAGCAAGGAAACCCCTTGGCGGGGGTGCAGCCAGGGCCAGGTTCCCGTGCTGGGCGGGGATGAGGGGACCCCGGAGCCCCCCACCCCACGTCTGTCCCGGGCACGCAGGCTCCCGTCCCGGGAGAAACAGCCTGAAGTGTCCCACGGTGGCCAGGGAGGTCTGGAGGAGCCCCAGCCCGAGGGAGGACCCTGGCCTGCACGCCAGGCGCACGGGGGGCCCGAACGGCGTCCGCCCGGAGCCGCAGCAGCTGGGCCGGAGGCAGAGGGAGGGCGAGGCCCGGCTGGACCATCAACGCCTCATTTATCAGAGCACAGCCCGGCTCTTTCCGCCGCCCAGCGGTGCGGACGGCGCGCCCCTGCCGGGCAGCTCGGCGGCGAGCCAGGCCTTTGGGGTTCAGTGAAAGGGGTGCAGCTCCATGGGACAGGAAGTGCACCTGCGGAGGGGGGGAGATAAATACTAACCCTCCACCCCAAGGGAGGAGTAGGGCCGCAGTCTTTTCCCTTCTGGAGCCAGGGGTCCTAGTGGCTGGGTTTTGTAGGATATGTAGGAGTTTGGGTCCGCAGAAGGGGGCTGACAGCACTGGTAGAGAGAGCAAGGCTGACCTTAGCCTGGTTCAGGGACCTCACAGGCCCTCCAGGAGATGTTTGTTGAGTGAGTCAATGAGATAAAACCAGGAACTAGACCGAGGCGGGCCCAACAGAAAGCCAGGCTCCGCCGCATGGCGCTGGGCTGGGAGGCCAGACAGGGGGGGGGGGCTGAGTTAAACTCCAGCGGCCCGGGGGCCGGGTAGACTCACCGCCTGTCACCGGAGGTCGCGGCTCGCCCCGCGCTCCCTCCCAGGGACCCGGTGTCCCCAGCCTCGGGCCTGGACCTCCCCGGGGATCGCTGGAGTCACGCGGAGGGGTGAGGTGGGGAGGGGGTCCTGGCGACCATCTCTCTCCCTGGCCTCAGTTTCTCTCCCTGGGAAAGCAGCCCATGGGCATGCTGGGGGTCTGCGCACCCACCTCACCCCCCAGGCCCTGTCCTCAGCGAGCCCCGGGTGCCTAGGGATTCGACCTCAGAGAGTAAAGGGTTCACACCCGGACCGCGCCAGGGGCCACCGTGGAGCCTCAGTTTCTCCATCTGAACAGTCCGAGCTAGCGCGGGTCCCAGCATCCACTGCGGGATGCTTGCTAGAGACTCAGAAAGACCTGTGTGGGGGCTAGAGCCCCGAGTTCTGACCAAGGAAGTGGGAGGAGCTGCATGGAGGGTGGAGGGTGGAGGCGGGGAGGGTGGAGGCGGGGAGGGTGGAGGTCGGGGAGGGTGGAGGCGGGGAGGGGTGGAAGTCGGGGAGGGTGGAGGCTGGGAGGGTGGAGGTCGGGGAGGGTGCAGGCTGGGAGGGTGGAGGCGGGGAGGGTGGAGGCTGGGAGGGTGGAGGTCGGGGAGGGTGGAGGTCGGGGAGGGTGCAGGCCGGGAGGGTGGAGGCCGGGAGGGTGGAGGCGGGAAGGGTGGAGGCTGGGAGGGTGGAGGTCGGGGAGGGGTGGAGGTCGGGGAGGGTGGAGGCGGGGAGGGTGGAAGTCGGGGAGGGTGGAGGCGGGGAGGGTGCAGGCGGGGAGGGTGGAGGCGGGGAGGGTGGAGGCTGGGAGGGTGGAGGTCGGGGAGGTGGAGGTCCGGGAGGGTGGAGGTCGGGGAGGGTGGAAGTCGGGGAGGGTGGAGGCGGGGAGGGTGGAGACGGGGAGGGTGGAGGTCGGGGAGGGTGGAGGTCGGGGAGGGTGCAGGCCGGGAGGGTGGAGGCCGGGAGGGTGCAGGCTGGGAGGGTGGAGGCCGGGAGGGTGGAGGCGGGAAGGGTGGAGGCTGGGAGGGTGGAGGTCGGGGAGGGTGGAGGCGGGGAGGGTGGAGGCGGGGAGGGTGGAGGCGGGGAGGGTGGAGGCGGGGAGGGTGGAGGCGGGGAGGGTGGAGGTCGGGGAGGGTGGAGGGCGGGGAGGGTGCAGGCTGGGAGGGTGCAGGTCGGGGAGGGTGGAGGCTGGGAGGGGGCCCTGCAGCCGGGATTGATTCTCCCATCGATCCTGGGGGAGCTGGAGCCAGCACGGCCGGCTCCCCGCTGGGAGGCAGGGGAGGAGGGAGAGGGGCGGGTGGGAGCGGCAGGGAGGAGCCTCCTCCCCTCCAGGCCCAGCAGAGCCGCAGCCTCACAGGTGAGCAAACAGGAGGAGGCGGGACACACCCACCCCGGCAGGGGCGAGGCCGCCTGACACACCCACCCCGGCAGGGGTGAGGCCGCCTGCCTAGCCTGCGGGGTTCTTCCCAGAACCCCGTGTCCCTGTGCTCACCCCTGATTTCCCTCCTCAAACCCGCTGCCTTTGGAGACAGGTCTCAAGTAGCCCAGGCTGGCCCCACACGCACTGTGGAGCTGAGGATGATCCCCCTGCCTCAGCCTCCGATACCCAGTGAATTCCGGCCCAGCCTGGGCTTCGGGCCGGAGCCAGCTCTTCAGGCCCGCGGTGTGAATTGTCAACTCGGTGTGCCCACAGGAGGGTCTCGGTGTGCCCGAGCCCTGGGCGTGTGGCCGTGGGCGTGCCCGCGTGGCCGTGGGCGTGTGGCCGTGGGCGTGCCCGCGTGGCCCCGTGGTGGAAGTCTTGTGGCCGGATCCCAGAGCCGTCTCTCCTGGGGGGTGTGCGTGTGTGTGTGTGTGTGTGTGAGCATGAATGTGTGTAAACAGTGTGTGAGAGTGTGTGAGAGTGTGAGAGTGTGAGTGTGTGTGTGAGTGTGTTTGACTGTGTGTGAGATTGTGTGTGTGTGCACGCGCGTGTGTGGTTGACTACGGGGACATGGCAAGCCGAGTTACCTATTGCTCCTGTGTGTTGGATGGTGTGTCCGTGTGTGTCCGTGTGTCCGTGTGTGTGTGTGTGTGTGTGTGTGTGTTCCCCCTCCCACCCCCGTCCATGGATTTAATGAAATCAAAGGTGACGCAGACCTGGAGCCACCTGGGAAGCTGTGTGACGTCACACCCGTGGTTCACCCCTCGCTGCGGCCCGCGGGTGACGTCACGTCCGTGGTCCACCCCTCCGTGGTGACGTCACCCCGCGGTAATGCCGTCCTTGGGTGGGCCGACCTGGCCGTGTCAGATGACACACGAGCGGCGTGCAGCCCGGAAGCACCCCTCGGGCCTCCGCTTCCGCTCCGACCTCCAGGTTCGGCCGCCACGACCCCTGCACGCTGGGGTGTGAGCCTGAGCCACGGGACGCTCTCCTCCCTGCCACACTTCCCCACGCGAGAACGAGGCCTTCGCTCCGAGGTCGGAACTAAACTGCTTCGGCACACACACACACACACACACTCACTCACACACACTCTCACACACACACTCTCACACACACTCTCACATACACTCTCACACACACACTCACTCACACACACACTCACTCACACACACTCTCACACACACACTCTCACACACACACACTCACACACTCATGCGCACTCGCACACACACGCGCCGCGCGTGCACACGCACACACACATATGGACCTTTCTCACTGTTCTTTCAAAACTCCAACATGGCCTCGGGCCTCAGTTCCCACAGCTGCCCACACACTCCCATCTTTAGCCCAGGCTGTGTAGCTAGAGTTTCCCTGCCTGGCCCACAGTCAGGACAAATCTCTGTCACCTGCCAGTCCCACAGCCGCTCAGACCCGACCAAGTAAACACAGAGACTTATATTGCTTACAAACTGTATGGCCGTGGCAGGCTTCTTGCTAACTGTTCTTACAGCTTAAATTAATCCATTTCCATTAATCTATACCTTGCCATATGCCTCGTGGCTTACCGGCATCTTCACATGCTGTTTGTCATCGTGGTGGCTGGCAGTGTCTCCGACTCAGCCTTCCACTTCCCAGCTTTATTCTCCTCCTTGTCCCGCCTACACTTCCTGCCTAGCCAATGGCCAATCAGTGTTTTATTTATTGACCAATCAGAGCAACACATTTGCCATACAGAACATCCCACAACACTTCCCCCATTTTTTTTTCAAAAAGGAAGGTTTTAACCTTAACAAAGTAAAATTACATATAATTTGGGAATTTGGGCGTAGCTTCTCTTACTACTTCCTGCTGGAGGGGGGCGCTGTATCTTATGGGGATACAAAGAAAATTTTAGGATTATGGAGTAGTCCATGAGGGTGTATCGTCTGAGCCAGTTGCCTTCAAATCATTCTGGATGTTGGATCATCTGGGCCATGGTGTCATCGGAGACCTTTCAGGGGGTCTTGGCTGGTCAAACCTGATGTGTCTTAATCTGGAACAAATCCATAGCCTCTGGCTTTCTGTGGGAACAAAAGCAGAGTCTCCTTTCCAAAGCAACATATCCTTATATCCAAATTTTGAAGTCAAGTTACATTTAAAATATACATTTTGGCATAACTCAACAGCTTTTACAATCAAATGTTTTTCTGCAGTTAAAAATCCCAAAGGACAACACAATCAGATTCTCTGTGTAATATTCATCTTCACGTGGCTTAATTTTTATATTAATTTTACTGTCTCTTTAAAGACTTTATTTTTTTAAAACTATGTATTTGTTTCTATAACTGTATATATCACCTTTTTTTTTTATCTCTTTCAAGCCTACGTATATTTTACACAACATTGTAAACTATTACATCTGAATCTGTCTTATTGTGAATCTCTTGCTTTAAACTGCAGCAGCTGTGGCTGCTGGGTCGCCCACCTCAGCTTCCAACATGGCAGTGTTACATTTTCCACCAGCTCTGGGAGCTATCATGGGTCTCTATGCTTTTATCCAAGCAGTCCAGAAACCGCTTTTTTTGTTTTGTACTAGCAAAGTCTAAATCCACCACGCAGCTTAATGTGCCATTTGCAGAAGCCTCATTCCCACCATTCTGCAGGTCGAGCGTGCACGCTAGGAACCTGCCAGTAGCTCAAACTGGCAGCTGCCACTCATTTGAGAGAGACAATTAGGAAGCTGTTTTTAGCTCCGTTTTAGAATCTTTTCTCAGGTTTTAGGTGGAAACTCTTGCCACCACGTTGGACGCCATTTGTAGCTAGAGTTTTCCTGCCTGGCCCACAGTCAGGACAAATCTCTCTCACCCGCCAGTCCCACAGCCGCTCAGACCCGACAAGTAAACACAGAGACTTATATTGCTTACAAACTGTATGGCCGTGGCAGGCTTCTTGCTAACTGTTCTTACAGCTTAAATTAATCCATTTCTATAAATCTATACCTTGCCACGTGGCTCGTGGATTACCGGCATCTTCACATGCTGTTTCTCATCGTGGTGGCTGGCAGTGTCTCTCTGACTCAGCCTTCACTTCCCAGCTTTATTCTCCTCCTTGTCCCGCCTACACTTCCTGCCTGGCCACTGGCCAATCAGTGATTTATTTATTGACCAATCAGCAACACATTTGCCATACAGAACATCCCACAGCAGGCTAGCCTTGAGCTCAATGTGCAGCTGAGGAGGACGCTGAATTTCTGATCCTCCTGCCTCAGCCTCCTGAGTGCTGGGGTGATGGGCGTGCCCAGCCCTCACCGGGTGGTGAACACAGAGGGACCCGACGATGCCTCGGTGGTGCCCGGAGGGAGAGCCTCGGCTCAGGGCGCCTCTGGCAGGGAACCTGTGCAGGGAACGGCGGGCGTCCCGCTGAGCAAGGAGCAAGAACTCGGGGACACGAGACAGAGGAGAAGAACCCGGGGTCATTCCTGCTACACAGTCAGGTGGAGGCCAGCCTGGACCACAGGGACCCTGGTGCCACACACCCCTGACACCAGGGGCAGAGGCAGGCGGGTCTCTGGGTTCGAGGCCAGCCTGGGCTACAGAGGGTGATCCAGGACAGCCGGGGCTGCACAGAGAAACTGTCTCCAAAACAGACAAAGATAAAGTCCCACTGTTTAACTCAAGCTGGTCATGAACTCACAGCAAGTCTCCTGCCTCAGCTTCCCGAGTGCGGAGTAGCAGGTGCATGCCATCATGTCTGCCTCCCTCTAGTGACACTTGCTGCAGCTGTTTGAGTTGACATTTATTTAAGCGTGTGCCCCGGCTGGCGTGTGACACCAGAGGGACAAGTTCTGGGAGTCCTCCGTGCGAGGGCTCGCACTCGGGGGGTGGGCTTGGCAGCGAGCTCCTTCCGCAGCTGGGCCGGCTGGTCCACCCTCCTCTGCTGTCTGTCCTGTGTGTCCTGCGTGTCCTGTGTGTCCTGTGTGTCCTGCGTGTCCTGCGTGTCCTGCGTGTCCTGTGTGTCCTGCGTGTCCTGCGTGTCCTACGTGTCCTGTGTGTCCTGCGTGTCCTGCGTGTCCTGTGTGCCCTGCGTGTCCTACGTGTCCTGTGTGTCCTGCGTGTCCTGCATGGCCTGTGTGTCCTGCGTGGGCCTGCGTGTCCTGTGTGGCCTGCGTGTCCTGCGTGTCCTGTGTGGGCCTGCGTGGCCTGTGTGTCCTGCGTGGCCTGCGTGGCCTGTGTGTCCTGCTGGGGACCCGGCGCACAGTAGGCGTCCAGTCATCGCGGTCCTGAAGGACGAGGTCCCCACCTTCCTGCATCTCCAAGGCTAGGAGGGAAAAGCAGCAGATTTTTAAAGAGACTGAGAGGGAGCGGCAGGCTCTGGCTCCCCAGGCGGGGGCATCGACCCAGCGAGGGGCGGGCGTCTGGCTTTGTTCGGGCGGAGGTGGGGGGGCTGGGGGGGTACCCCTGCAGACAGGGCTGGGGCTGGGGGGGGCACCCCTGCAGACAGGGCTGGGGCCGGGGGGGCACCCCCTGCAGACAGGGCTGGGGCTGGGGGGGCACCCCTGCAGACAGGGCTGGGG